ACTTGGTGATGTGGCGGTGCCTTCCTAGTTGCTCCATGCCTCATGCATGTGTGTGTTGTGGTCTCTTTGGTGCAAGTTCAGTTTTCCTCTCACTTGGCGATGTACCGATGTTTTCCTAGTTGCTCCATAGCTCATGTGTCTGTGTGTTGTAGCCTCAATAGTGCAAGTTCAGTCTTTCTCTCACTTGTGATGTGGCGTTGCCTTCCTAGTTGCTCCATAGCTGATATGTGTGTGTTGTAATCTCATTGGTGGGAGTTCAGCCTTTCATCACTTAGTGATGTGGCAGTTCCTTCCTAGGTGTTCCATAGCTCATGTATGTATGTGTTGTAGTCTCATTGGGGCAAGTTCAGTCCATCTTTCACTTAGTGATGTACCAGTTCCTTTCTAGATACTCCATAGCTCACATGTGTGTATGTTGCACTCTCACATGTGCAAGTTCAGTCTTTCTCTCACTTGGTGATGTGGTGGTGCTGTCCTAGTTGCTCCATAGCTCAAGTATGTGTGTGTTGTAGTCTCTTTCGTGCAAGTTCAATCTTCCTCTCACTTGGGGATGTACCTGTGCTTTCTTAGTTGCTCCATAACTCGTATATGCGTGTGATGCAACGTGAATAGCGCAAGTTCAATATTTCTCTCACTTGGTGAGGTGGCGGTGCCTTCCTAGTTGCTCCATAACTCATGTATGTATGTGTGTAGTCTCATTGGTGCAAGTTCAATCTATTAGTTGCTCCATAGCTCATGTATATGTGTTTTGCAGCCTCAATAGTGAAGTTCAGTCTTTCTCTCACTTAGCGATGTGGCAGTTCCTTCCTAGTTGCTCCATAGCCCATACATGTATGTGTTGTAGTCTCATTAGTGCGAGTTCAGGCTTTCTCTCACTCGGTGATATACCAGTGCTTTCCTAGTTGCTCCATAGCTCATGTATGTGTGTGTTGCAACCTCAACTGTGCAAGTTCAGTCTTTCTTTCACTTCGTGATGTGGCGGTGCTTTCCTAGATGCTCCATAGCTTATGTATATGTGTGTTGTAGTCTCTTTGGTGTAAGTTCAGTCTTCCTCTCACTTGGTGATAGACCGGTGTTTTCTTAGTTGCTCCATAGCTCATGTATGTGTGTGCTGCAACCTCAATATGGCAAGTTCAATCTTTCTCTCACTTGGTGATGTGGAGGTGCCTTCCTAGTTGCTCCATAACTCATATATGTGTGTGTTGTAGTCTCCTTTGTGGAAGTCAAGTCTTTCCTCACTTAGTGATGTGGTGGTTCCTTCCTAGTTGTTCCACAGCTCATGTACGTATGCGTTGTAGTCTCATTGGTGCAAGTTCAGTCCATCTTTCACTTAGTGATCTACCGGTTCCTTTCTAGATACTCCATAGCTCACAGGTGTGTATGTTGCACTCTCACATATGCAAGTTCAGTCTTTCTCTCACTTGATGATGTAGCGGTGCTTTCCTAGTTGCTCCATAGCTCATGTATGTGTGTGTTGTAGTCTCTTTGGTGCA